CATTCTGCTATACTCAGATGAATGCCTTGCTCAGCCATCACCATGTAAGATTCTTCATGAAGCAAATGGGAACAAATAAAGAGTCCCACAGCCAGAAAATAAGAGGCATTGGAATACTGTGCCCTAAATAAAATGTATACATCAAATCTGTCCCCTTGGGGCTCAGGGGATTCTTCAGAAGAGGAGGATGAAAGTATAAGAGCCAGGAAGGATGGAGGACACCAAGGAAGCAAGGCCTTCTAAACATATATAAACAGAGACTGGTAGCATGCACAAGGCCTATAAGGATCTGCACCAGATAGGGTTTTAGAGTTGAAAAAGTGGACACACATTTCCAACCTATAAGCTATCTTCAATTGACTCCTACTTGCAAATGAAAAATTAGTTTTTTTCCAATGGAGTTTCACTTGGGAAACAAACCACTCTTAAGGGCAGGCTGCATGCCCAGAAGTAGATGGTCAACAGAAAACGCATTCAGTGGCATCTTTAGAAGTTCTTGTCTCATAATGTTGAATCCGGGCTTTTTCTTTCTTTCTTTCTTTCTTTCTTTCTTTTTTTTTTTTTTTTTTTTTTTTTTGTAAACTTTATAGGTCCTTTTTATTTATATTACGGCTTCTGGTTTTAGGGTTTTATGGGAATCTTGGTGTGTAAACATGTGTCTCTGCATCTATATGTGTTTCTTGTGCTTTTTCTTTGACTTTTCCTTTTGTTGGTTTGTTTTGTTTTATCTTATTTTATTATTATCCCTTAGGCGCCTATTTGTTTTCTAAGGCAAGACAGGATGGGCAAGGAGGTGGGGAGGAACTTGGTGGAGTGGGGGAAGGAGAAATTGCAATCAGAATATATTACATTTTTAAAAAAAAATCTATTTTCAATAAAAGAAAAAACATGATTCTTTTAGTTATATATTTTAAAAAAAATACTGTTTTGTCTAACCCACCATTGAATAAAGAGTAAAATGCCAGAATTAGTTTGAAAGAAAATATGAAGCCTGACTTATATACACAGTTCAAAGAACACTGAACTGAATATGCCAACATTCAGTTCATCAAGCTGATGAAGACTCTGGGTGAGACTCTGACGTTATGTTTTCTACACAGATAAATCAGTATCTCTATGTGAATTTTTTTTTTTTTTTTATGATTACTAGTTCTCTACAAGTTGAACTCTAAATGCCCCAGGGTGCACACATCTGCACTGGCTTAATATGTCAAGCCTTCATCTGGTAGTCAGTTACTCCATGGAAAGGACATACACTAATCATCTCTTGTTTCTTAGCCTTGGGAAAGTTTCATTTTTCTTTGTTATGTTTTTAACATCTCCCTTCTGCCTGGAGGCCCTTCAGATATTTAAAGTCTAGAGACAACTCATTTTTCTCTTGGAGTCAGGTGCCCAGATTGGCTGCAGGTGTGCTAGGAGCAGAAGGGTATTTTATTTCAGTAACAAAAGGGAGAATTAAGCTTGGGGATCCTTAAAGCCTGGAAGGGGGGGGGGCAATATTTACTGTAAATCCTATTTGCTGCCTATGTTACTCTGAAGAAAACCTTTATTGTGGATTTTCTCTGCTCAGAATAAAAGGTGAGGAGATATATATGGCTAGAGTGGAAAAAAAAAAAAAAAAAAAAAAAAAGGACTGTTCAGACAAGCAGTATGCAAGGGTAGGTTCTGATGCAGTACTGTGTCAACATTACTTTAGAGACAGCAAGTTCATTTGGCCCAAATATTACACTTTTTCATGATCATTATATTTATAATCAGAGTATGGGTAGAGATATTTCAGGCAGGAGCTCTATGCCTTTAGTGGCTCTAATTGGTATCTGGTGACTGCAGCCAGTCCTGCTTTGTTACCAGTACTGCTCAGCATATGAGCTCAAAGTATATGCTGGACAGACCTGGGCCAAACATCTGCACAGTTCCATCAGGCTCGGGAACCCAGGGCCCTCTTCAGTGCATGCTCTCCTGTCGATAGGAGGTTTTACCCTGCCTAATTCCAGGCCCCCATCAGAAGCCATTATGTTCAGTCCTTGCAGCCTAACTAGACAAGCACAAAGCACTGCACACAGAAGGGCCACACCTTTCCTATGCTCCGCAGTGCTCCGAATTCTAAAAGCATTGTCCAAATAGCAAATCTACACAAAGTTTGTCTCCTGACTCTAAGGCAGGCTGGCTGTTCGAGCAGGTCATTAAAGTGGGCTCATAGCAAAACAAGAAACTGGGATCATGAAAAAAGGCCCCAAAAGGGACTGGAGAGATGCCTCGGAGGCTTAGGAGCACTTGGTGCTCCTCTAGAAGATTTGAGTTTGAGTTCACAACCATCTGTAATTCCAGTCCCAGGAGATCCAGTGCCCTTTTCTGGTCTTCCGTGGCACTAGGCATGCACATGGTATACAGGCATACATGCAGTCAAAGACACTCACACATATAAGAAGACGAATACATTCTTTACAAAAGAGGTCTAAAGATAGGACGAACCAAGGAAAGGAGGAAGTGTGGGGGAAACAACTGAGTTACACTTATAAAAAATATGGAATTGGTTTTCTCTGATGGAAAAACAGCATGGCCCACAGCAATGTTCTCACTTTAAAAAGTGATTTAACTACCTAGATCTGGGGCTGGGGAGATGGCCCATCTGTTCAGAACACTTGTTGCTTCTACAGAGGATTAGATTTTGGTTTCCAGGATGCACATCAGAGAGTTCACAACTACTTGTAACTCCAACTCCATGGGTGCCTGCATACACAGGCTCATACACAAAAACACATGCATAAACATGAATAGAAATACATTTTAAATAACAATAGTTACAGAATTTTTTTTTTCTGGCAGTAATTCAACCCAGGAAGGTATAAACTTATCAATCCACAAACTGAGCTTTCAAAATGGAGCAGATTCATGACTCAATGAAAGTACTCAATGTAACCTTTACTATCCTAAATCCTAACATATTTCAGCGCTGAGCAATTACAGTATCAGATAATATACAAGTCCCCACACGTAATTCTGAGGTTAAGAAACAGGTCCGAGTACTTAAAAGATCCCAAATTACCCACATTCTAATTACACATGCTATAGGAGAGAAAGCTTCCCTGACTATGGCCACATTTTGTCTCCCTGACTAGCAAGTGAGATTGTCTCACCCCTTGGACAGTAGTGAAAAGACCCAGGTCAGACCTTGGGCTGTGAGAGGCCTTTGTAAATATTTTACAACTTTTGTAAGTATGATTAGGCAGAGAAAAACACTACTGTCTAGCTCCATACTTTTAGATTTATGTTCAAGTTGGGTAACGTAGTATATGGAAACAACTGCCAGTATGACTGAATCAGGAAGTCTGGCCTTCAGGATGATTAGTCATGAAGGTTCCATTCTCAGGAATGTGGCAATGCCATAGACAACGGCCTTCACTCGGTGTTCACTCCTCTTTGTCCTCTGTCTCCTGGGACAGAGTTCTTCACCTCATAAGGACAGTGATGTAAACACTGTCTTAGAATCAGAGAGGTCAGCTGACAGATCAGTGCTTTGATTTTAGATTTCTTATGCTCCAAACCTGTCAGGACTGTTTGTTCTCTATAAATGGCCCAGTCATGGGTAATATGTTATGGTAGCATGGACAGTGTAAGACAATCTTTAAAAACAATGTATGGGATGGGGAGGGCACAGAGGGAGAGGAAGGACATGAAGGGACCTTTGGAGACAGGCTACCCAGAAAACAGGTAACATGTTGCCCCAATAGAGAAGGAAAAGTATTTCAAGAGACAAGGGAGGGGCATTTAAAAATGGAAGTAAAGAAAGAGAAGGATGAACCACATGGTTGATTTGGTAGCAACTCAGGAAAGGGAAAAAGCTGGGCCTCTGGAGGTGTGGGCAGAAACTGTTGCCAACAGTTAAGAACACCATACCACCGGCTGCCAGCATTTCAGTCCCAGTGTGGATGCACCTTGAATGTATTATGTAACTGGCACGAGCCAGTCATGAAAGAGAAAAATACTGTGTCATTGCGCATCTATCAGTTACATAAACAGTCAAATTCATAGAGACAGAGAGCAGTACACAGGTTACATGGTTTTGCTGGGGAGGGTGGAGAATGGGAAATGATTATTTAAGTTTCCAAATGAGTTTCCATCTAAGGTGATGAATATTCCAGGGAGGGTGCCTGGTGATGGTTGCACACCCAAGGGTTAAAACAATAAACTGTTGTTTTTTAACACAGTTTAAAAAAGAAAGGAACTTAAAATGATAGAGAATTTGGAGAGATCATTCAAAAACTTTTCTTTCTATTCACTAAAGGAATGTAATTTCCTTGCTTAAACTGGTGTTCTTTGGTTCTGTGATGGCACTCTTCGATGAAAACAGTAAGGACTGACAGAACAGAAGCAGTGAGAGGAAGATGCAGAGAGATCATTGGTCATCTAATATGTGTAAAAGCACAGGGAATATGTTTCAAAGTGTCCTGGAACTGGAACAAATTTTTTAGGCTACAATCACCCTGCACTTTTTTTCTTTTAAGCCAGTTCACTATTGGCTTATTGAGATACTTTCCTTTTTACCCACCCACCCTCCCTTACCTCTTCTGGATATACCAACTCAAACAACAAAAAAGAATTCCCTCCTCTATCTGCCAAGAAGGGTTGTGGGAGAAGTCTCAGGTTTTGCAGAATGTGTCAGATGTGTGAGAAGTCTCAGGTTTTGCAGAATGAAATCTTTGTTTACTGTTGATCCACATTTGATATTTTTTGGTGAACTTTGACCCCCTGCAAGAGAAACCAAGAGGAGCATTCAAAATAACTGAGGATGCTACAGGGCATCACTTCACAAGACAGAGAGCAGAGAGGGCCTTCTGGGTTTGCAGCCAAGGCTCCCGCAAAGCCTCTAGCTCCCCGCGGGGGGGGGGGGGGGGGGGGGGGACCCAGCGCACAATCGTGCGCAGGCGCAGCCCTGTGCTCAGCCGCCCCGGCTCAGTGGTCCCCGGCTACTCCCGGAACCCCTGCCCGGTCCCCAGCTCCTCTCCAGCACCAGCCTGGCCAAGCCAAGCGCGGCCTTTCCCTGACCCCAGGAGGCAACATGCCAGGGCAAAGTCCCCGAGGGTGTGAACCCCAATGTCCCAACCCCTGGGCGGGGACGGGCTGCGGCAGTGCGGGGAGCGGTGGCCAGCACAACCCGCGCAGCCCTGCCGCGAGCCGCCGAGTCCCCCGGGAGCCTCCGCCGCCACGCTAGGTCCGCAGCGAGGAGCCCCCGCGCTCAGGGTCCGCGTCGCGCCCCGCCAGCCCCGCTCCCGCAGCCCGCGCTCCTCCGAGGCCCGCGCCCCGCACCGCCACGCCCGCGCGCGCGCCCCGCATCTCCAGGCCCGCGTCCTTCCGCGGCCCGCACCGCCAGGTCCAGACCCCCGCCGTCCAGCCGGCCCGGGAGCTGCTCGCAGGCCCGCGCCACCGCCGCTGCCGCCGCCACCCGCCGCCGCCGCCATGGCGGAAGTCCACAGACGTCAGCATGCTCCGGTTAAAGGAGAAGCCCCCGCGAAATCCTCCACACACAGAGATGAGGAGGAGCTGGGGATGGCGCCGGCCGAAACGCTGACGGTGTTCCTGAAGCTGCTGGCCGCCGGCTTCTACGGCGTGAGCTCCTTCCTCATCGTGGTGGTCAACAAGAGCGTGCTCACCAACTACAGGTGGCCGGGCTGGCGGGAGGCGGCTGGGGCGCGGCGGGCGGGGACCGGGGTTCGAGCCCACCCGGGGATGCTCTCGGCCGCGCTCCCCGCCGCGGCGGCGGGCGCGGGGAACGCAACGGGGCCCGTGTCCAGGGACTGGCGACCCGCGCGGCTGACAGCCTGGGACCAGCGCTGCCGCACACCCACGCGCCCGCCGTCCCCACTGTTACTGGGACTCTGGGGCAGAAGTTTGCGTGTGTGCGTGCGTGCGTGCGGGTGTGTGTGTGTGTGTGTGTGTGTGTGTGTGTGTGTGTTTCTCCCCCCCAGATTAAGTTAAGAGATTTAAAATCGGTGATGAGAAGTTCGTGTGTGTGTGAGCGCGCGCGTGTGCTTGTGTGTGTGTGTGTGTGTGTGTGTGTGTGTGTGTGTGTTTCTCCCCCAGATTAATTTAAGAGATTTAAAATCAGTGATGAGATCTCTGCCTTAACTTTCTGGGAAAATCCGTTGCATGAAGCCAAGGGAAATTATAAAACGGGACAAGATGAGACAAGTAGCCGCCCCAGGCTACAGAAAAAATTTTTTTTTCCTTTCTTTTTTTCTTTTTTTAATTTGGATGAGGGGCAGGCATTGGTGTGGATTGAATTAAAATGCATTTTAAGGTTGTCGGTGTGCAAGTTGAATTCACTGTACCTGGAGGGCTTTCTGGCTGTTTTTAACCCCGTTCCTTTTCTTTACCCTTTTTGTAGATTTCCATCCTCCCTATGTGTTGGACTTGGCCAGGTTAGTTGGAATCTTGGGCATTCCGTGGTCTGTGTTGTCAGAACTTCTGTGTGTATCTTTATATGCAGAACAGTGCATCTGTGTGTGTTCTCTGTTTGCAGATGGTGGCCACGGTAGCAGTTCTCTGGGTGGGAAAGGCACTCAGGGTAGTGAAGTTTCCTGACTTTGACAGAAATGTACCTCGAAAGGTAAAAGTGAGAAAGAAGGAATACTTTATTTTATATAAAAAAGGAGCCATTCTGTGGCTTAAGAAAAAAAAAAATCAGCGCCTTGCATATTTAAAACAGCAGTCTAGCCCCAACCCCAGTGCATATAGCAAACAGGTAACAGTACAAAATGAAGATAGAAAAGTCCTTGTGTTTTGATTAAGGAGTTTCTGGTAACAGATCTATCCACGTTAGCCATGATGCTCTTTATTATTCCCCCCCCCTTTTTTTTTTCTTTTGGAGGAGGGGTGTTTTCATATGGCTCTCTACACTTCTGTGAGACTCCCTGTGAAAACTAAATGCTTTCTTTCCTTCTGTGGAGTCTCAGACTCATGTGGTATCATGTTTTCAAGCAAGTGGTGCTTCTGCCTCGTGTGGTTGATCATGGTCATACTTCTATGTCCTTTCTTCCTGCCAGCCCCCTCCCCCATTTTGTCAGCAGTGTTATCTATCAAAGGATCGCTAATGTAATGTTTGTGTGTTCCGTGGGGGTCAATACTGTTTATGAGAACTAATCTTATGTTTCAAGTGGAAAGAATTTGACTGTATAAACAGAGCTGTTTCTTTCTGCAAGGACTTTGTTGCCAGCGCCTTTATTACTGAGATTGGTTACCCTTTTCACTTTTCCAGACCTTTCCACTACCTCTACTGTATTTTGGGAACCAAATCACCGGACTGTTCAGCACAAAGAAACTGAAGTATGGATAACTTTATTTTTCTATTGGGGTTGAAATAATGTAATCTTAAAGTTAAACACCAATGTCATATCAATATGTCGTGATTGGTGGGGGTTGGGGGTTTGACAACAACAATAACAACAATAAAAACACCAGGAACCCGAAATTTTGATTTCAATTTTGTTTTTTTGAAGCTAAGGTATGAGTTTTGTATTGTTCCCTTTCTTACTTTTATGCTAGAAATGTTCAGATATTGTCAGTGGTGCAGTAGATTTTCTTATTTTTTGCAGTATTGGAGAAAGATTTATGCCAGGCTGACTAATCTTGCCCTAGCCCCCAGAATGCTGCCCTCATGTGTGGTCTAGGATTTTACTTCTGTAATATAGTTCATAAACACTGTGTATTTTAGGTGTATTCCACATAGCAAATTAGATGATGGACATAAGAATTTCCACAGGTTTCCTTTCAACACGAAGTGGCTAAAGTCAGATGGAATCTTGACATAAACATGATTACTAAGTCAACCATAACTTTGTAACTGTAGAGCCATTCACTTTTAGAAAGAAGTAATAGCTCTACTCCCTGGCAAGGCTACATATTACCCTCTTCCCTCCTGTTTCTTGGCTTCTGACTTTGCGGTGGTGGGTGTGTGTAGAAAACACACAGGGAAAATATTTTAGCAGAAACCTACTTGAACTAAATGAAGCCCTGACATAGTAAATGATTATAAACAGTATGGAGGGGGCAGGACAGATGGATCAGTGGTTAGGAACACTGGCTGCTCCTCTAGAGGACCCAGCTTCAGTTCCCAGCATCCACACCAGGCAGCCCAATTGAGATCTGACACTCTTCTAGCCTTTTTGGACACTTTCATCGGCATCCACATATGCACACATATGTATGTCAAATTAGGAATAAAATCTTAACACAAAAACAGTATGGAGATCTATGAGGATTGGAGACAAAGACGTTTTTGTATTCTCCGTTTTGATTCTTTTAAAATCAAGAACCCTGAGAGGATGACCAGAATATCTCTGGGGAAAGTTCCTAGGAAGTCAGATTTGTCATGGAGAGGGAATCCTTTTCCATCTCATTACCCACTTGGAAGGAAATACAGGCCTACAGCAGAGTGTTGCTTATATAAAATTTGCTTTTTTTTTTTTTTTTTTTTTTTAAATCCATTGCCATGCATTCACGTTCTGCCTTTGATTGGCAGATAAGTAGAAAGTACTTTAGAGGGAGATATATTCAGAAATTCTTACATTATTGCAAGCAAACTGCTCTAAGAATTTAGAGGAACTTGTTTCATGGGTAAGATTTTCATAGACATTTTTGTAGTGGTCTAGAAAGTAAGAAGGGAAGTTAGGCCAGTGAAGAAGAAAGAAATGTTAAAGACTAATATGGCTGGAGTCAGGCTATTTGCATAATTATCAGTCTTTGATAATAGATGCATGGTTTTACCATTTTGTAATTAATGTTTTAAAGGCTTTTAAAGAAAACATTTCTCCAGACAAATAAAGTTAATCAGCACGAGACTTGCATATAGTCAGAAAGAAAATAGCGTTGTGGTTGTGTAAAATTACCGATTTTTAGAATTATGGTTTATGGTTGCACACTTTTAAGCTTTGTTTTATCTGCTTGTGTTTCTTTTGCAGCTTGCCCATGTTTACAGTTCTGAGAAGGTTCTCCATTCTGTTTACAATGTTTGCTGAAGGAGCTCTACTCAAGTGAGCTTTATTTGTAATACACTGTCCTTGTTTATAAGGCTAATAACATTGTTTGTGTGCTTGTGTTTGTGTGGACGTTTGCCTGTGTGTGGTTGTCTGAGGCCAGATGTAAGTGTTGAGTTCCCCCATAGCTGAAGTTATAGGCAGTTGTGAGCAGCCTAATGTGGGTGATAGGAATTTTGACTCATGAGCCATTGCTCCAGCCCCATATATTTATTCTTCAAATACTTTTAAACACATTGAAAAGATATCAAGCCTATATAAGATACTAAATTATCTGTCTCACTTCTACTTTAGGCTTTGAAAGCTTAAACAGGCTGATTATCTTGCTATCAGAATTAATGTAGTTGGGAAGGGAAGGTTACAGATCACAGAATACTACCCCAACATGGGATGTGCCGGTTGCTGCCATTGGGGCAAAGCCAGGTCAGAATCATAGGTATAGGTTTTAAATAGCGTTCATGTCTTGTCTACTTTTACTGCAAATGTGTGTGACCCTTTTCTACTTAAAGAAACTTTGACAAGAAAATTCCAACTCAAGAATAATAAACAAATGGTAAGAGAGAGCTGGTTATAGTTATTTCTATAGCAAAAAGAATTTATACACCACCTTTTAGATACCTAGTTCCTTGGAAATATTCAGAATGTGATTGTATTTACCTTTTTTGAAAAAAAAAAAAAAGCATTCCCTTTGTTTTGTCATTGATATAAAATGAGTCTACATGGATAAAGTCACATGTATGTATATTTTACATTATTTTGTAGGAAGACTTTCTCTTGGGGTATTAAGATGACTGTATTTGCAATGATTATTGGAGCCTTTGTAGCTGCCAGGTAAGATGTGGTCCTATGCAACCTGTATGTTAATTATCAATACTTATTAACATTATATCTTGAGCATCTTTGAAAACTACTCAGAAGATTTCCAGTTTTAAATCTTTTGGGCTATATTAGATCAAAGCTAGAGAAATGGAGATTTGGGGGATTCCTAAAGTCAATTTATGTAATTTAGGATTTGATACTGTCCTCTGCTTGCTAAGCACACACCACACGCCACACAGAATATTCAGCACTGACACATTTATGAATTCTTTTCAATCCCAACAGATAAGACTTTTCTGTTTTATAGTTGAAGGAACTCTTCTGTAACTCAAGGGTTACAGCTAGTAAGCAGCATGGCTAGAGACCAAGTCTGTCTGAAATCAAGTCTGCAATTTTATACCATGCTAATCCTTTCACTGTGCATGCTGTTAAAGGAAGTAGTACCTGCCCTTCTGTGAGATGAGGCGAAGGACGATGAATCTTTTCCCCTTGTGGAAAAGGAATAGAAGCATTGCTTCATTTGGCCAAGGACATATCACAAATGTCATGACGTGGATATTCTATTAAATTGTGAAGCTTTTTTCATTTTTTTTAAGTTTTAATTTTAGAATATGTGTAGGAAGACACAAAGCAATGATTTACATTTAAGGTGAGAAAAATATGATTGACCACCATTTGGTTATTGCAGACAGGCAGGAGGGAAGGCAGGCAGGCATGGTGAAAATACACACATACATACCCAAAGAGGGAAAATTGGAAGGGTGTCTGGGAGCCTTCTACATTTGGTACCAGACTTGGGATGTGTAGGTAGATTTGCTAGTGCTGCAAACTTGTTTTCCTTTGGGAGCCAACTGTGCTTCCTCAGCTTGTTATATTTTTCTCATATGCCTGTGGTGTAAGTATATGTAGTAGGGGTGTAGACATCAAACTATATTTTGCATTAAATCTCCAAACGCAATTCCACTCATTTTTAAAAAAAAAAAAAATACGCTTTTTTAATTGCATTTATTTATTTTGTGTGTGTGCACGTGTGCCACAGGGTACATATATTGAGGTCAGAGGACAACTTGTAGCAGTGTCTTCTTTCACCCTGTGGGTCCTGGTAATAGGACTCAGATTATCAGGGTTGGTGGCAAGTGCCTGTACCAGATGAGACATCTTGGGGCTCCTGACTTCCCATTCTTAGGAAAAATAAAAAATAAAAATAAATAAAAGGGCAGCATCATTGGTTACTAGAATTTGGAGCTGACTCCTTCCCCCCCTATGTTGCCTAGGCTCCTATGACAAAAGTTCAGTAATAACTTCTTAGAGGTGCCATACTAAAGTATGTACTAAAGATTTTCCCCAATGCCAGTGAGAGCCAGAATTGTACTAAACAGCAGGACCTCCTTGCATCTCCCTTTGGCCTGATGTTGCAGTGGCCTAGAGGGTTCCCTTTACCAGACCAGCCATAGTATGTATGTAGTGTCTTTACAGAGCCATAGAACTTGAGGGTATTAGAATACACTGCTGGTAGCCTCTGTCAAACTTTCACTTATGGTTTATATTTCCTGAGTTCTTATGATAACCACTCCACTAAATGGTAGGAACTTTGGTCTCTTGATCTCCTTAGTTATGCCTTCTCAATTCATTGAGCAATTATTTACACACTTAAGCTCTTAGAACTTGCTTATACGCTCTTGTGGCTTGATATCAGAACTGTCATCCATGTTTCAGAAATTCCACCCACTGACAACTTAGTCCTGTCTTTTATGTGAATCTTTGATAGAAAAAAAAAAAAAAAGACTTGTTCACAGCTCCAACCTTTGACTTCCCGTCTTCAAAACGAATGCCTTCTGCTTTTACAGATTAGGTAATAATGTTTGGTTGTTTGTTGGCTGCCTTTAAAGCAGTATACAATGAACCAAAATGATTACTACTTGTGTGGGTGTGAGGTTGATTTTTTTTTCTGAGGTAGGGTCTTAACTGTGTAGTGTAGGTTGTCCTGGAGCTTGATCTATAGCACACACTGGCCCTAGTTCACCATCCTTCTGCTGCAACCTTCTAAGTGCTGGTATGACAGATGTGTGCCACAATGGCTGGCTCCATGATTGACTCTTGGTGGTGATGTGTGTAAGCACGGATGCTTCTCATAAAATTGCCAAAAGCGGCCAGGTCTTAGGAAATGCTGGTAGCTGATAAGATGCATAGTGGTCTGTGTAGACAAGAACATGTTTTTGCAAGTACTGTAGCCCAGGCCTGTGTAAAATTAACTACACAGTTTTAAAGGTGATCTCAAAGTGTTGCTTATGTTCTGCAGCTCTGACTTGGCATTTGACCTGGAAGGATACGTTTTTATTTTGATCAATGATGTCCTGACAGCAGCAAATGGTGCATATGTGAAGCAGAAGTTAGACTCAAAAGTAAGTAGCACTCTATGACTTCTTCATCAGATGCTCAGGGAGAGACAAGTGTGGAGTAACGAAACGTACTGAGGAGGGTTGGGGAAGGACGCAGGAACTCTCTGAAGGTAACGTGTATACATGTTCATGTTAATATATTAAATTCATGTTTGCCAGGTGCTGTGGCACATGCCTGTAATCTCAGCATCCAGGAAACTGAGGCAGGTGGATAGCCCCATGTTCGGAGCCTGCCTAGGCTGCATAATGAGGCCTAGCCTGGGCTACAGAGCAAAACTATCTCAAAAAAGAAAAAAAAAAAAAAAAAAAGACGAAATCTCTTTAAATTAAATTAGGTTGTAATGCTGACTTTTCTAGAAGGGAGTGTGTGATTATTGATTTAGAATGAGGTAGGAGAAATAAGAAATGTCCATAGAGAAAAGTGTCTTCATGATTGTGGTTGTATTCTGGAAGAGTTAGTGAGGGGCCTGAAACAGGTACAGGAAAGTTTGGGCAGTTATGAAGGAAGTGAGTGCTGGAAAAGACTGTGGAACAAGGATGCTCGGGAGCTCTGGGCCTGCTCTCAGAGACCACTGCATCCCTGGGCCCAGACCGAGGGTGTCCTCAGCTTTTTGTCTTCCATTGGTAGTGTGCACACAGGGGCTTTCCGAAATACCATGTGCTTGGTCACTGTCTACTTTACATATAGACACATTCAGTTGTGATTTTACATGAACCCAGACCCTCAGAAAGCCAAGTATTTGGGCTCTATTTTGTGTGCCGCATTTCAGGGTTAGGTTACTGTAAGAAAACAGTTATCTGGGTTTCAGTCTTCTTTGTCTTACTGCTCTTAGTGAATGGGTTGTTCTTAATTTCCTAATGGGCCTTGTGAGGACTCACATCGATATTCATCTCAGATGTCACCCTCCCTTTTCCTGAGCAGCTGATTCGTGTTTATCTCCTAACGGAATCTTGTAACTTATGTGTGTTCCTGCTCATGTTTTATCTTAGTAAGATGGCCTCATGCACTTGCTTTCTTGTGTGCTCTCTTCTATATATAGTATTTCTGAAAATTACTTCAAGTACTTTTTGGAGCTCAGATGACAAACAAAAACAAATGTCCCACTCGATAATGGTGATCCCAGTGGATTCCTGGTAGTTCTGGTTTTGAGGTGGTTTCCCATTGGCCAGGATCTTGCCTCTGTGGATGCATGGCTGTCCCTGCAGGCTGTTCATGCAGGTTGAGTTGGTTTTTTCTCCTTCACTAAAAACACTACAGATTTGTGGCTAACACTTTCTTTAAAATACTTGCTTTTCATCCTCCACTTACCCACTTTGATGTCTGTATGTCTATGTGGTTGCAGTTTAGATAGTTACTAATAACAACTTTTCATCCTTTTTGAAAAGAGGAAAGAGAATCGCAGTTAGGCCTTACCCTGGTTCTACTGGTAGCTCATTTGCTGGTTTACAAAGAAGACACCAAAGCAATACTGCAGTGAGCCTACAACTTCAGCTCTCTGAAGCCACGCTGCCCAACAGTCTTCTGTGGTGATAGAAATCGTCTCTGTTCTCATTACAGACATGGCTTCTGAGAATGTGAAAAGTGGCTGGTATGGCTGAGAAATTAAATTGGTGGTTTTGTGTAATTATTAAATTAGCTACATATTGCTAGTGATTACTGTTTTGGACAGCATAATCTAGAACACATCCCAGGATATAGGAGAAAATAAAGGTTTCAAAGTATTTTTGTTCTAGAAGAAAGCGATTCATTTCTACATTTAGAAATAGCTTATAGCTTACTTTTATTAAAACTCCAAAGCTGCAAGGTGGTGGTGGTGATGTACACCTTTAATCCTAGCTCTTGGGAGGCAGAAGCAGGTAGATCTCTACAAAGTGAGTTCCAGGATAGTCAGGGATACAGAAAAACCATTTCTCAAAAAACAAAAAAAAACAACCCCCCCCCCCAAAAAAAAACCAACAGAAAACCCAAACAAACCACAAAACCAATCCAAAACAAAAAGAACTTCTGTGGGTCTGGGATATAACTAAGTTGATTTCTATAGAGATGTGTTTTTTAATTACTTAAGTCTAAGACATGGTCTCACTCTGTAACCATGGTTTTCTGGAACTTGGTGGTTTTGAACTCACAGAGATCTGCTGCCTTGACCTCCTGCATGCTGGAATTAGAGGTGTGTGCTATCATACCCCCTGTAGCTTTGTTGATGTATTGTTTGCATAATATGCATGAAACCCTTGGTTTAATCCCACATGAGCCAGGTGAGCCTCCTCTAGAACTGGAGGCAAAAGGATCAGATGTTCTATTTCATCCTTAGCTGTAAAGTGAGTTTGAAGCTTGAAGTGTTTATCTAATTATTCTTTATCAGTAAAAACTCGGAGTCAGATAACAGGGTAAGAAACTGAATGATAAGAGAAGTGGTGAGAATCTACTAATGACTTTCTCTCTCTCCTTCCTCAATCCAAAAGAACCAAGACCTTTCTAAGCCCCACCCTGTTACTTCCTGTGCCTCTATATATGTCCTCAGTCCTCCAAAACCTCTATGGCTAGTTTTGGTCAGCTAGTAGCTAGCTCTACCCTCTGATTCAAACTACATTTTATTGGCAGTCTCAGGAGTGTCGGAATGCGATCAAAATATCCTACAACAGAAACCAACCTGAGACATATGAGACTGTTTCAAACAAAGCAAAACCTTATGGAATCTGGGTGTGCTAGCAGCATTGTAGTCTGAGCACTCAGGAGGCTGATCCAAGACACTTGTGAGTTCAAGGCCAGCCTGTACTATGTAGTGCCATCTGATACACCTGCAGCGTCATAAGGAAGAATGACATTCAAAATCATTAGATTGTGAGGGGAACCATAAAGAGTATGGCGTTCGTGTTTGTCGCCTGTCAGTTATGTGTTTGGTGTATCCGTGTTTGTGCATCCTGCACACCCTCTGCTCCAGGCTGGTTCATGTTCTGGGTCATGGGCACCTGTTGTATAAGGTTGTGTAGTGTCACTGTTGATCTTTTCGTGGTATTACACAAAGAGGCACAGCTTTCCAATGATGCTTACAGTTATAACTTACCCATTATTTGGTTTAACCTAGGGCCAGTATGGTCACACTGGTTTTAGTAAATCAGAATTGTAACTTCAGGGCCGCCTATAATCATGGACCAGGCAGCCTGAGTCCTATGTCAGAAGGACCTGGGCCTGCATTTCAGACTTGAATGTGATTATTCAAATTAAGACACTTTTTAACTTTAAAAACCATCCAACATAATATCTATATGTAATTGGAATTGTAATCTATGTATGTTTAAATATACCTATCTGCTACAACCAACTGAAATAACTAATTGTTTACTATCTAGGAGCTGGGAAAGTATGGCCTGCTCTATTACAATGCACTGTTCATGATCCTTCCCACCCTGGCCATTGCTTATTTCACAGGAGATGCACAAAAGGTAGGATTCATAATTATGGGTTATTTACTTACTGTCTATGATCAAAAGATACACTTTTGGGTTTAGAAAGAGATGTGCTTATTAAGTGACCACAAACTGAGAATTTATCCTTTAGATCTTTAATCGGCTGATGTCATGCTAATCTGCCTTCTTGGCATAAACAATTTAAATATTAAAAAGGCTCAGAATAGGTCTCTGTGTCAGGACAGAAAAAGAAGAGTTTACATTAAAAACATTGTTGATTATTAATTTCTACATGTATAATGTGTTTTGATCCTATATACCTTCCTGTTACCCTCTATTAACTGCCTCCCACTCCTGCCTAATCCCTTCTTTTGACCAAGATCCCTTCCTGCATGTGCGTGCGTGCGTGTGTGTGCTTGTGTTTGTGTGTGTGTTCATGCTGCATTGAAAATGATTAGGTGTGCTGCAGGAGCATGGGTTAGGGGTTATTTATTGGGTAATCACCCTATAGCTGCACTTCTAAAGGAAATATGTCCTTCCTGTAGCTGTTAACTGCTAGTGGGTACTCAGGAAGAGGTGAGGCCTTTCAAACCCTTCCCGAGTCTGTGATGGACTGTTGAAGGGCCGATTATGTGCAGATTTGTATAGGTAACTACAGCTGCTGTGTGTTAGTGATCACAGTGGGCTATATATCTAGAAGTGCTCACTGCATTCCTCCACACCCTCTGGCTCTTAGACTGTATCCACCCCTCTTTCATGATATTCTCTGAGGCTTGAAGGGAGGAAATTTTACATTTTTATTAATCTGTAAAATAGGAATGGAAGCAGACTATCCCTGAAAAGTAAAAAATTCTGAAACTCTTTGAGCCTCAAGAGTTCTGTTTCTTTGTCAGATGTTTCCTTGCTAAAATCCCACCTTGGTTCCCCATCACCATCAGGACTTACTTGGTATTGCATGGTGCCTTGTCCAGATAAATAGCAACTCATATAGTAGTTTACCAATTGTATGCAAAATTTTACTTAAGTAAATCCAGAATAGAATAGAAAAATCAATCCTAGAGAATTTTTCCATAAAATAGCTCCATATTTATAGAAAAACTGGTATTATATTGTTAGAAATCACAAAATTTTGCAAACTCAATGGAAATGCAAAATTCTGCCAATGATATGTGTCCCAAGATTCTGTCTCTTGGTTAAATATCTTGGTTATGCTTTCTTAGGGCAGCAGACCATGTATTAGTGGGAACTTGAACAGAAGATTTTGAAACTAGACTACTCATAAATTCTTGAGGCTGAAACATAATTTTGGCAACTTATGAAGCTTTTTGTTCTGCTCAATTTTTTAGGACCAATCTTTTAAAGAGTTATCCCAGATTATTTTCAATGTATGAATAGATGTTTTAGTGAACTGTGCCTGGCTACCAGCAAGCCTAAATATGGCTCCAAACTAGAAACTGCTATTGCTCTTTGACTAATGGTGTTAAATAACTATTCTGTGGCTTTGAAGAAAATGGGATGAGAAAGTAACATTTCCTGAGTACTCAATATGCACTAGTCACTTATATGAAATATAATCTCTCTTTCTCAGTAGCTGTGGGAAGCTTGCATTATCCCTATTTTATTAATGTGGAAAGAGGTTCAAGTCATTAAATTTCATTTTGCCTAAGGTCATACTGTTGGGAGATAAAACTCCTTCCAAAAGCCATGGTCTGTAAAGGTCTGCTTCCTTCTAGGAGGCTCTGGCTGAAGAAACTTTTACTCTTGAGATTTAGAACAAAGGTATGATGGATGATAATCTGCCCCTCAGGACAGAACAGTGGCTCCAAGTCTCAAGGCCAGTGTGTGCTTGAGACAGTGTAAGAATTAACATGTTTGTATACTTTAAGGCCTTGGCAAAATGCTATTTCCATTCAGGTGTTGGCAAGTATTTTGTAGCTACTTGGAACTTTTAGCCAAAGGGGGTATGTCTTCATTTCAAAATGATGACAGTTTGTATAGAAGTTATAACATAATTTGTGCATATTTTGAAGTTCAGTAGCACTTTATTCCTGAAGGCTCAGGAAGCAGAGGCAGGCAAATCTCTGAGTTCGAGGCCAGCCTGGTCTATAGAGCCAGATCCAGGACAGCCAGTGCTATACAGAGAAACCCTGTTTCAAAAAGAAGAAGGAAAAAAAAAAAAAAAAAAGTCAAGAGAATATTTTTTTTAGAACAGTGCTTTTGATGAGTATCAGTTCACTTAAAGATTTTCAAATTGGGATGATGAAGTTGAGTATAAAAGTGGAACTCATGCCTCGTTGTGTTTTGCATGCCACATGTTTGTTTAGTATCATTCTTATTATTAATTAATACATGAATAAATGAAAAATTTATTGGGTACAAATAGACACTGACCATGCTCTCACCACTACTTGCCAGCCACATAATATAGGGATGTCCACATTTCCTTCAGCTATTTAAATAAAGAAACTCTGGAGAAATAGAAACCAATAAAGTAGCCAGAAACTTTCAATGCATGTGTGTGAGACCAGGGTAAGTATATTTTTTTCCTATTGTGGAACCATGTAAAAGAACTTAAAAACTATACCTTATAAATTGAACGGTAAGAAAAAGAAAGTATTCTGTAATACATCTTAAATTTAAAAATAACTGGGACAGGTGAAACAAACTAATTTATTCTTATTACTCAATAATAAGGGCCAGGAAGTAAACTGAAGCAATGTCTGATTTTCTCACTAAGAATCTAGGGAGAGGGCTCTGAAAAGTCAATTCCCAGAGAGTTGGGAGTGGACACAGCCGAATTTAAGTAGGAATTGAAGGCACAGACACCCTAAAGGTCCCTATAATTTACAAGACAAAATCTAACTGAAAGCTCATCCCAGGGTGTATATAGTGCAAGGGCTAAAATCAGGCCCCTTTGTGTGTGGCTCTGTTCCTCCTCTCCCTTCCTCTCTTATTCTCTCTTATTTGCAGAATCTGGGGACTACTAGGAAAAGAAAGGACCAATACACTTAGCACTTAGTTTTAGAAGAGATGCATCTTACAAAATATTCTTTAAAAAAAACAAAACAATAGCAACAAAAAGCAAAGTATAGCTGACTTGGTTTATACCTGTAATCTCAAAATTTGGGAGGCTAAGGCAGGAGGATGAGTCTGAGTTTAAGGCCAGCCTGGCCAACAGTGTAAGACTGTCTCAAAACCAGCTGGCCAACCAACCAACCAAATTCCCCAAAGACTAGCTACTGTGGAACCAGCAGGACCAGGAGTTCAAGACCGTCCTTGGCCACATACTGAATTTGAGACTAGCCTGGACTATATGAGACCCTGTGTGTTATACAGAAATCGTCTTCCCTTTATTAAAAAAGAAATCTAATAACATTAGTGGTTTTCTAAAGGGTCAGGATAGATGCTCTGAGCTGCTGCCTCCAAAAGGGAACGCTGCAGCACAAAGCCAGCATTCAGAGTGGCAAGTGTTGGGCTTGGCTTCCTGGCAGCATTTTCAGCTGGGTGTTCTCAGGTACCTATTGGAGAACAGACCCCTGCTGTGGACCTCACAAGGCCTCTGTTGCAACCTGGTACATTGTATGGTGGCTGGGTGCATTGATGGTGTCTCCTGCTGTAGCCGGGTGCATTGTTTATGCTGTCTTTATTATGTTGCTGCTTGAGTGGCCTAGCCCAGAGGAGTTCAAGGAAAAGTTACTGTCTAGGTCTAAGTAATTACTGACCATTACTTCATTACTAGGTAATGAAGCCTTTTAGGCTCCTCACTTATCCTGTTTGAGTTACTGAGTTTTTTCAGGATCTCTCTGTGGACCACACAGGTTGACTTTTTTGAAATCCTGTAGTTTTTCCTCCTCATACAGACAAATCTCTTATTTCTAGACTTTGGTGGTCTCCTTGTAATACACCTGTGTTGGATTAGAAATCCTTTATATCCATATGAGGGGGGTCTTTCTCAGCTTGCATGTTTGTTTGGTTGGTTGGTTATTCTTCTCTTTGAGGCCGTGCTTTTTAGAAATAGGAGCAGTGACTCAGTAGGTGAGGTGGGCCGCGTTTTGCTACCACACATAAGTGTATATAGGTGTTAGAGCCTGAGGGCAAAGAGGAAGTAGTGAACCAATTTGGGCTCTAATTTCCCATGTAAGCCAGGAGCAGGAGCAGAGGGAGAGAGGTTGTGGTAGGTGGGTAACCCTGGGCACTGCCCTTGGCCTAACTTTCCAGAGGTAGGGAGAGAACTGTGGAGGTGTTTGTACTGCCATTATCCTCATGTCTTGGCAAGTTTCCTGGCAGTTTACCTCTGGGTAAGGATTCAAGTCCTTTTATCTCAGGAACTTTCAATATTTGCTTAAATATATAATGCTTATTTATATATTTTATTTACTCTATGAGAGCTTTATAATGTATACAATGTATGTTGATCATATCTATCTCCTCCTCCCGCTCTCACTTCCCGTGGACACTCTCCTTAGCATGTGCCCTTTCCACTGCCCAAGTCCCCACCTCCCCTGCCCCCACCACGGTACACTCCAGCCTGACCCGCTTTAGGCTTGTTGATCTAGTAAGAGTTGCTGTATAGAGGCCTAAAAGGGAAGAAAAGGATATGTTGTTTTCTCAGTGGTATATGTTAGTACAGTGTGTGGGGGTAGTCAGCCCAACAAGTGGTCTGAGAAATTTCACCATTAGGGGCCTCCATTTAGGTAAAGACTGTGTAAACAAAAAAAAAAAAAAAAAAAAGAGAGAGAGAGAGAGAGAGAGAGAGAAAGGAAAAACGAATTTCAGAATGAGGATGGAGCAAAGTTAGCATTTGTTCCATACTGTCTGGAGAATATTATAGTAGTGCATTTAGTTTTGAATGAGTGAACTTATAAGGTATAGCAAGCAAAGGGAAAAGGATAAATAATGAGTAGCAAATAGAAGAGGCAACAGAAAGCAAAACATTGAATCAGATGCTTGAAATGTCCAGCAGAAAGGGTTGGAGCAGCCTCATTGGGTTCAGCCGAAACTGACTGGGGAAGTTAAGGCAGGCAGCTGGGACCCTG